CTATCTATCTATCTATATATGTAAGTTTATATGATGATATACCGTGAGATATTATGATATACGAAAAAATAATCACACTAGGGCGTTCCGAAGCGAAGCAGCGGCAGTTTGGTGGAGTGTACGGGAGGTGGTCAGGAGCGTTCTTGGGGGCTTTCGTTCAGCGTCTATATGGAAGGGTGTTATACAGTTTTTTATTCCTCAGCTGTTGAGCTGTGGATGTCTCTAGGCTATTAGCGCTCAGACTGGCTTTTTGAACTGACCTCAGCGTGTTTTCTATCGTCGCCATCTTCTTAGGTACTTCAGGGACCGGAATCCTTCACACACAGCTGCAAGTTCGGAAGTCTGAAGAGCATCTTATGCGTCGGCGTTCTGGTGTTCCATGAGGGTTCATTGGCCTCAGGAACAGATGTTTGAATGCACGACAACCGGAAGCACGCGCAGCCGAGGCATCAGCATACCTTTGGAGAGCTGCTGTTTCAGCTTACACCTGGCGTCGGAGGCCCAGGTATTTTGGGCATATTCCGCGACCGCGGGCGGCGGGCGCAACAAATACAGCAACGGAGGCAGCAATGCAACTGCAACGGCATCGGCATCAGTGTCAGCAGCAACGGCACCAGCAGCAACAACAATCAGAGGGATATTGATAAGAACAGCACTTGTAGTAGCTATACTGGTAAACACGACAGAGAAAATAAAAAAGTAACAGTACCTATGCGGATACGCACAATGATCAGACTGATATTGCTTCTGGGTGAGAGCCGCGAAAATACATGCCTGCTTGGACACGTGTCAGAAGCAGACATCTCAAGCACAGTGCAATAGATAGTCATCGCGCATATCATGCCATGGAGTCTCTTCAAGTCGAAGAAGACGCTACAAGAGCCGTGAGGGCAGAGCCCAGGACATGGACGCCGATCAAAGTTGCAGTGGCCGTTGGTGTGGTGATCTTTAGTCTGGTTTTCAGCGTCTTCTTGATTGTTTCCGGTATCGTGCGCGGTGGCGGTGGCAACCCACCTCCACACGACGAAGTCTGCCAGGACTTGCCGTACTCCTCAGTACCTGTACCTGCAATCAAAGTCGGCTTTGCCGAACCGGTCGGGGACTGGGAGGCTTGCCCCGTGCCCACCCGCTCTCCGCGTAGGGATTTTCCAAACGAAATGTGCCGCAGATACCGCGTGCCACTCGACTATAGCCAGGGACTGGTCGCAGGCAACATCACTGTCACGGTGAAACGCTCTCGTGCTGCCAAAGAAAGCGACGGCCAACTCTGGATGATGGGAGGAGGCCCTGGTTCGCCTTCCTATTCCGAGCTGGGATCGATTTCAAGTCCTGGAAAGGTTGATTATACACTGGACCACCGCGGTACTGGATGGTCCACCTTGTTGGATTGCCCAAAAGTCCGCAAGCAGCCTGGTAATTTGCCCTGGGGCAACTCGTGGATGAAGTGGGTAGGTCTTGGCAACGTGTCTGCGGAAACTGTCGATGCCTGCCTGGCCGAAATCTCAGAGGACATTGGTGCGCCCAGGCATTTCACTGCAGCTAATGCTGCGCGAGATCTGGCCTCCATCATCATGGCAATTCAAGCCGAAACAGGAAGCACAGCCGATGTTGGCATCCATGGTTTTTCCTACGGAACCGTATGGGCGCGACGCTTCCTGGAACTGCAGGGCCAGGAGTTTCCTGTCATCGTCTCACATGTCGGCATTGATGGCGTTTGCAGTGGGGACTATGACTACGGGCAATATGCCTTGATGGCAAACAGTGCCGGGCGGCGGCTGTTGGACGAGTACTGCGATGCAGATTGTCGTGGCAAGCTTGGCGCACCTGCCACTGGCTCTCTTGCCGCTTGGTTTGGGAGGGCCGTGAAGGAAATTGACAAAGCCATTACCGATGGTTCAGAGGGCTTCTGCGCTAAATACCTTTGGGAGCGTTTTGCAAAGTCATCCGCTCTTTCAGGGTGGACCGCCAAGGCCTCAATCAAGGAGGCTCTGGGTGCAATAGGCTATCTGCATGTTACGTACGGATCAAAAGCAATGACAGAGTTTGTCGCCTTCGTTCTCTCCTTGCGACGATGTGTCAGAGACACAGCTGCTACGACCATCCCGAGTGATTTCTGGGCAGTTGCTCATAGAATCGACCTCAGTGTTCGGGTTGCGACCCGCTACCTTGAAACCTATCCGTCCTCCTTTGACGCGATTCTTCACCACATCGTCGGCTTCGGTGACATGTGGAAGGGACCTCAGTTGTAAACTGTAATCTTCGTCGGGAGAGTAAGCAAACGAACAGAAGCAAGCATCAACAACAGCTCCACTGTGTCGTATGCAGCGTTACCCAAGGAAGGGTCCTCCCGAGCTACGCGCATGGGGGTTGAAGGATGCAAGACATGGCAGCTGCAGTTTGGAATCATGGCGACACTTCTTTGATGAGGAGGTCTTCTGGGCACCGGACTTCGTGACCTTGATGAGCCGATATCAGGATGTGTTCAATAAGTACGGCTATCGCGAGAATTCTGCGCTCGTCCATGGCAGTGGCCGTCCTTGGAGTAACGTAACGGTTCTCGTGACCAATGGCGACTTGGATGGGCAGACTCCTTTGAGATTTGCCCGTGCCGCCTTTGAAGCTTTGCCAACGTGCAAAGCAAAAGTGGAGCTTCCAACCGGAAGACACTGTGTCTCTACCGATTCCTGTCTCCAGAAAGTGGTTAACGCTTTCTATGGCAGTCCGGCAAGTTCCTGCCCTTCCGGTTCGGTGAATCCGGCAAGTTCCAGTGATCTTGGGCAGGCTCTGGAAGCATTCGATTCAGGCAATTGTAGTGCCAAGAAAGTAGAGACGTGGACAGGCCTGCTGCCTGTAGATGATTGTGGGCGGGAGCATTCCAGCTCCGGTTGTGATAAGAGTTTTGGAGCTGGCGGCGATGGAGTTTGCGACATGTGTTTTGCAAAATGTGTCGAGTTGCTGGACAAGGCAAACGTGCCGAACTCAAGATGCGTTTGTGCGTCAGAGGCTGCTCGCTGTGGAGCCAGAGGCAATTGCACAGCGGGAGGGTTTGCATTCTGCTCAGAAGAAGCGTCACACGCCGGCTGTGACAACGAGGACGAGTTGTGCCAGGATCCAGGACTGGTTGTAGCATAGTCCTGTCGCCCAGAATTCTGAATGGCCGCCATGCAGCTTTGAAGTTGTTGCAAGCATTGCAGCCTAAGCGGGGAAGGCCTTCCTGCAATGGGCTCAGCCATATGGCTGTTGAAAAAAGTTCGCTGGCTCTCTGCAAGCTCTGTCTTCTACATTTCTACACCCCCCAAACCCCTAGCTGCATACCATGAACGCCCATGGCTGAAAGCCTTAAACCTCCAAACCAAAGTTCTACCGGTGGACGCCTGACTCAAAGAGCCTTCCTGAGGGCTGTCCCTGCATCCATGCATTTTTACAGCTCCCACTCCGAGGCGAGGAATCATGGCATTCTCAACTCAGTGCTGCACATCCTCGTGCCTGGCTGATACTTTGGAGTCAAGGGTTTGGCGACTTCTTTCCTGTTCTCCCGGGGCGACCGGGCGAGGGGGTTGGGGGGGACAGGGGGCTCTGGGTTCACGGAGTGAGGGAGATGGAGTTTGTGGCGCTTGGGGTCTTAGGGCTTGCTGGTTCGGCACTTGCAAGTTTGCCGCACGAGTCAGAAGTCTACGGTTCCTACTATGCTAACTATGGTGTCATATGCATAGCAGCAGCTAACTTCAAGCCAGGATAGAATATACCATCGTGCCAGAATCTATCCTCATGCTCCTATGAGAATGCGCTCACTTTCATTAAGGATTGTGCGAGGATGATAAGGTTTAAACTTCCCGCGGCTCGTTAAGGACCCCACAAGGACACATTTTCAGTGATATCATGATATCCCTACATGGCTTGCTTTAGGAGATTTATATGGGTAATCCTTATCCTGTTTTCGACTTACGTTGTTTTGGTGCACGAAATGAAATAAGAAACTGCTACCTCAATGCTTCCGAAGCTTGAACCCTCAAACCTGGCCAAGAATGTGAGCATGTCATGGCTTGTATTTTGTCATGTACTGCCTCGGGCCTGGCATAGCTGTAATGCAAGATGAATCTTCCAGCCCGTGGTAAGAGCAGCCAACAATTCGTATTACTGCTACTATTGCAACTGTCATTACTTTCAGGCGCTGAACCCCGAGACGGCCTCGCAGCTGGGTTCTCAGCGTCGAGCGCTTCAACTTCAGGGACTTCGACTTGAGGGTGCTGCCTCGGTGCTGCGTGCCTTGGGCTTTCAGGAGGCAATGGTTGTGACAAGCACAGAGAATTATATGAGGTCAAGGAAATACGCCAACTGCACGTAGTTCTGCTCTTGCTACGGTGTATGCTGCGTTGCACACCCTTCAAGACTCTCTTTAATAAGGTAGCGGCGTTCAATGAAGCAGTAGTTGTGTAGCTCTGCTTCGACCGCATCTGAAGTTTAAATTGCCCTTTCCTCCTTGGATGTGGCAACTGGCAGAATCAATCTGTCGTTCCTCTTTCGCCGCTATGACATGAGTGCTGCAATGTGTGATCGAACCGACAGCTCACACAACTGCACAATTTTAGCACCTCGCTGCTCTAAAAAGGCGCCATGGTTTGTGCTAAACCTGATTTGACCATCTCCCCAAAGCCGAGGGTACGACCACCTGTCTCCGCCAGGATGCCCCAGCTCACAAAGCCAAAGAAGGTGCGGCTTGTGAAGCAGTGGAAGGCCTGCACTCCTTTCTGCTGCAAAATCTTCCAACAGACGAAAAGCGCCTGCTACATGGAGAGCATTCCTATAAGTTAGAGCTCGGGTGCTGCCTGGTTCAGCTTGGTGACGCTGCACCGTCGGGAATCTGGCATGAGCCTGGTGCACGTCGCCTACTAGTTGTGCACAGCCTAAGCTAACTTGCAGCAGGCCAAGCTGAGCCAGATCCAGAAGAGCCTACTCGATGCTGCGTATGGGCCCGCCACGCAGTGGGGACCAAACCCCAAACCCCAAACCCAACACCCTAAATGCCAGACTCGAAACCCTAAGGTGCAAGACTGATGATGTCATGTATCTGCAACATGAGCTTTTAATCGTACATTCCATTTTTGAAAGTTTCTGTTGCAAACCGATACCCAGGACTATACAGTGCAGTGGAGTATAGTGTAAGTAATGTATATGCCTAAATACATAGCTTTACATATGGTTGCAGTAAGTGGGTAAGTAAGTAGATAGTTAAGTAAGTGAGTAAGTAAGTAAGTAAGTAAGTAAGTAAGTAAGTAAGTAAGTATGTATGTATGTATGTACGTGTGTATTTATGTATGT